ACCCACCCACCCACCCACCCACCTGGAGACGCAATGGTGGGCTGGTGCGGCCGACAGCAGCAGGGGAAGCGACTCACCGAAGACAACGGCGGGCTGGCACAGCGCATCTCCAAGGCCAAACAGCATGGTGGGGTCGCGCGTCGGCGGGTGGGAGAATTCTTCGAACTTCGACATGTACAGGCGGGGCGCGGTAGTTGTTCGTGGCAATCTGCAGCGCGTTCTCGAAGTTCGAATTGTGGCCACTGGGCCGCCGATTGACAAAGATCAGTGGCCCAGATTGGCTTCTTTTGTTTTTGTGAATTCAGGGGGCCACCAGGCTTTTTCTTTCGTCGTTCGACCGGCAGTGGGGTCTACGAGCCCCAAAACGCAACTTAAGCCCGGAAAAAAAAAAATTCCACGCCCTGAGCAAAAATGCGCTGGGTGGAACCAGGAGACGACCAGGACAGGCCACCGGCCAGTCCGACCGGGAGGCTCACGGTTGAGGAAGGGGTCCCCAGTTGGACCAGGGACCAACACTGATTTGAAATCTATTTAATATTTTATTATTAATAATAAGGTGCTGAGCGATGGGACAAACAAAGGAGGACACCCGTGACAGATTGTTTTGTGTTGTCGGATCCATCCCTTCGCATCTGAAGCACCATTGTCACATATTTACCTGATATTGGCGAGCTTCGCTCCATTCTTCATTTCATAACTCTGAGTAGGTATCAGCTTTCTCAACTTCTCTGATACTGGGACCCCTCCGATTGCAGATATTGATGGCAGCTTAAGAATGTCCACATCGTCGTCTCTCGATCTGGCCTTTGCATGCTCCAGGGGCTCATTGCCATACCCCATCAGCACCACAAAGTACAACTGGGAGGAGATCACCTCTCCCTGGCCTCCTCGCTGATCTTTCAACCTCTCAATCTCCCGGGCAACCGCATCCACCCACGCCAATCCTTTCAGAGCACCGGTCAACCTCCCATCCGCATTCCCAGTCGTGGACTGCACAAGAGGGAGATCGGCACCGTCGATTTCATCGGCATCAAGATGCAGGAAGATCATGCCAAACCTCTCACTCCCGCTGTCATGGTCATCGCCACAACCCTCAGACAGGCCCAGCAGCCGAACGACTCGCTCAACCAGCTCTGTCGGATCCGGTAGGCTGCCGGAGTCAGACTCAGAGACAGCTGAAACATCAGAGGCATTACATCCGACAGGCTTCCGTGTAACACTTTCTGTGTCTTCTTTTCTTGGATGCTGCCTCAGAGGCAGGTCGGAAAACCCCACACGTTGGCCCAAGGATAGAGCCACATCTGAGTTCGACATCATCGCTGCCGATAGATTCATAAATCTGCGGCAACAGACAAAGAACCAAAAGACAAAGACCAATCAATTCTCTTTCTTTGTCAAAAAAGGTAAGAGGGAAAAAAGAGGTGGCCCCCAAAGTCGCCAAACGGTGAAGCAGAAAAGTTTCCAAGTACTAGCAAAGGACAAACAAAGAGAGCAAAAAGAAAAACGCAAAAAGGAGAAACCAAGGAAAAGCAAAAGCATAAAGTCCAGCAGCAGCCAGACAGTTTCCATTTGAGCATGCGTCACCTAAGCGGTCTTGTGTGGTCAAGCATCAAGGCTAAGGGAGACTCGAGTAGGGCAGTTGGTGGTCCCCGGCACACATAGCTTAGGACTTGAGTGAGCGAGAGGAGAGAGAGAGAGTGCAAAGCCATTCAGAGAGGAAGAAGACCATTGTAAGTAGAGGGACACAGAGTTTTCAAAACTTGCCTTGAAGATCAGGGAAAGTGGTCATAGCCACAGTTGTACATACCAGAGACTTTGATGTATAAACAGCAATTTCGTCAAAACGGACATATTTTATTTTCTGAACGAAACTGAAATCGCATTTTTCGTCCGAAATTTCATGAAATTGAGGGTATGACGTTCTGAAAACGCCCTACACCCTCAATGTATCTGGACTTAGCTAAGTCCACATACATCCAGGCCGGAAAACACCGGACCCCTTGGATATATGTGGACTTCAGTCCAGACACATCGAAGGGGGTAGGGCGTTTTCAGAATGTCATACCCTCAATTTCATGAAATTTTGGCCAAAAAATGAGATTTCAAGTTCGTTCAAAAAATAAAAATCATTTTAAAATGTCCTTTTTGACAAAATCACTGTTTAAAGGAGTTCCGAATTTCAAACAGTTTCTGCTGTACTCTCACATCATGTTGATTTGCATTTCGTGTGTGGAGTGCAGTGTGACGAAGTGTGAACTGGTAATGTGACGAGCAGGAGAGTTTGTGAGATCGTTGCGCACACCACATGCCTGGCTCTTGTGAGACTGTCAGCCCGCGTGCCGTAAGATCATTAATCTCGCTGGTGCTGTAGTATCACTAGTCTTCTAGCTGTTGAGAGGTCTCTAGTTGGTTGGCAGCGCACAGGCACAGGCACACACACACACATACACACACACACACACA